CTCCTCATCATCTTCGTCATCATCATCGTCATCATCTTCTTCATCATTCTNGTCGTCGTCATCATCATCGCTAACATAGTTCCACTAATTAGTATGCTCACTACAGCGTTCATCATTATCAAAACCATCACCACCTTCATCATCACTACCATCATCATCACTACCATCATCATCATTTATTACCAGTTTTTGATCATTACCATGACCAAACTTCTGAAATGTGAAGAAATTAAAAAAATTGTATCCTTCATTCATTCAATCACTTATTCCTTCATTCGTTCATTCACTCGTTTATTTGTTCGTTCGTTTGTTCATTCATACATACAAACATCAATTCATTCAATCATTCGTTAGTGCGTAAGTTCGTTCGTTCAATCATTTATTCATTCATTCATCCATCTATCCATCCATTTGTCCGTTCATTCATTCATTCGTTTATTCAACTATCCATCTATTTTTCGATCCATTTATACATTCATTCATTCGTTAAGTCATTCATTCACTCATTCATTCATTCATTTTTTGCTTAATACTGTTAAACTCATATATGCATCGTCTTTTAACTTTGCCATTTTCCAATTATATATATATTTCTATATATATAATATAATATATATATATATAATATATTTATATAAATATAATAATAATAATAATAAAATTAAATTTTAAAAAATATATAAAAATAAAATAAAAATAATATTTCTCTTCCTCTTTCCGTGTGTTTAGGTGTTAAGCGGATTTTTATTTTTAAAGATTTTAAATATCTACATCTGACGGCATGCAAACATTAAGACGTGTATGTGTTTTAATGTATGTCTGTCTGTGTTTGTTTGTTTGTGTGTGTGTGTGTGGTGTAGGTATATATGTATCTATGGCGGTTATATATTGAAATGATGCTAGCTAGCATTTAAAAGTTCTTTCTATCATTTTTTCATCCAGCTGTTCGTTGATCGATCTGTCATTCGCGCATTCATTCATCCATTCGTTCATTCATTTTATCATCTCATGTCTGTTGTGTATATTTGTTAAACTTTAAATGAAAATTTTTCATTAAGCGTCAATATTTTGATTTTAATCTACAAAATTTTTAACATTTTGGTCACTCACTCCATTTTAATTTTGATATATTTACGATAGAAATGAATAATAATAATAGCTGTTTAAAATATTATAATAATAATAACAATAATAAATAACAATAATAAAACGTAATAATGAACTAAAGTAAGATCCGAGTCACCTCAAATTCGAAGGCCCGTGCCAAATGGCCTTCCCTCTTGCCCCCTCTAATTCTCCAGGGTCTGAGAAATACAGTAGTAATTATAGTCATAATTATAATAATATAATATAACAATATCTTAATACCGACCATGCTCTTTTTGAGTTTTGTATGTTTTTCACCATTTATCGAACAGATGTTGAAATGATTCGCTCAATTTTTTTTCGTTTTGTCATTGTTTTATTTTTATTAATATTATTATTATTGTTATTAATAGAATTACTATTATTGCTATTAATATTATTATTATTGTTGTTGTTGTTGACGTTTTTCGCTAACTTTCCATCCGCGGTTTTTTTTGAAAACTTTGAAGAGGAAAAAAAGCCGACAAAAGCAAACAAAAGAGAATCCATTTAATTTTCATCATTCTTCAAAATCCATAATAATAATAACAACAACAACAATAATAATAATAACAATAATGATAAATAAAAATAACTCCAAGAGCAAGCAAGTATCCAGCAATAATAACCATTTTTCAAAAATGCTTAAACGCCTGTGTCATATTTCAGGGTCGAAATATAATAACAACACTAATAAATAATAATAATAATAATAGGCAACAAAAAAAAACAATAATAATAATAATAATTAGAATACTGCTACTACTACTAATTATAATTATAACTATAATATAATATTCTGCTGCGTGATTGTCGGCGCGTCTTCGTCGAGTTGTGATATCTGCAAATTCTTAATGTCCCTGAAATGAGAATTAGCGAATAAACTCTCTCTGATTTTAAATATTATGAATAATAATTACAACAATAATTATCTTTATTATATTATATTATTATTATTATCATTTTCATCATCATCATCATCAGTGGCAGAAACAAAGCAACACCATCATGAAGACGATGAAATAAACACAAAAACGTAGAAAAAACTGAATATAATAATAATAACAGCAACAATAATAATAATAACTATAACAGCAACAATAATAACAATAACAACAATAACAGTAATTAAAAACAGCAACAGCAAACAACAACATCAACCTTATTTCTTTGCACTTGTCGAGAACAAATCGATAGTGCCTTTCCTCTTGAGTGTAATTCATGAACTTGAAGAGGCCGAGCACACACGCACCGCCAAACAATCTAGGTCAGGTAATTAATTAACCAAACAATTAACAAACTAATTAATTAGTTCAATTATAGTTTGACCAAATTTTGAGACAGATTTTTAATATTTTTTCGTGCCTACTAGCGATTATGTTTTTTTTTTCTTTAGCTGAATAGACACCTTATTGAATATTGAATTGAAAGACCATCTTGGATTAAATAAATTTTTAGTAACTAAAAAATAATAATAACAACAACAACAACAACAACAACAACAACAACAACAATAATAATAATAATAATAATAATAATAATAGATAATGATGTTACAATAAGTAAAAAAAAATCCGTACCCGAATCCCAGTCCGAAAAATCCGCCGACCACCATGCCCCGCCATCCGTGGCCCGCCCTTAAGAAGCTGCACGTCAGCCCTTTTAGGATTGAAGGAATGAAAGAGTTAATAGATGAATGAGTGAGTGAATGAATGAATGGTGACTGAATAAACGAGTGAATGTATGAGTGAATGAATGAATGAACGAATGGATGAATGAATGAACGGACGAATAGTTCTTAACCTCCAGCTCCAACATATTCCCAGAGTGTTGATTTATTTCTGTAAGCTGAAATTGCTTGAGAAGATAACCTAAGGTAAAAATGAATGAACGAATAAATGAATGAATGGATGAATGAATGTATAAGCGAAAAAAATGAATGCGTAGATCCATGAAAAATGAATAAATTCATTAATGAAGTCATGAATGAGTGTATAAAAGATTGCGAATGTGATTGAATGAATGAATGATTAAAAGAATGAATGATTGAAGGAATGAAAAGATGAATGAATGCACTGGAAACTCACATATATAAGCAGGCAAATATGCCAGCCTTAACACCCAAATGCATTCCGAATCTCAAGGCTCCAAACAACGTGGCGTCATTGTGAGTCCTCTAATTTGGTTAGTGGATGGATGGATTGAGCGAGGAAAAAAAATTATTACTCTTTATTATGATTATAATTTTAATTATAATTGAATGAATGAATAAAACAAACTAAGAAATGTATCATAATGTGACTGGATGAATGAAATGAGTTAACGAATGAATGAATTAAAAGCATGATTTACTAAAAAGCAAGAATGAATAGACAGACATAAATGGCTGGATAGATAACTATACAAGAGTAGATGAATGAATGAATGAATGACTAAACGAAAAGATAAGAACATGTAGGGAAAATGAATGAATGAATTTATGGAAAGAAAGTAGAAAATTTAAACACCTACTTATATAAATGATGGAATATATGAATGAATGAATGAATGATTGAATGAATGAATGAATTAGATAGGCAGATAGACAGACAAAAAACTTGAAGAAATGAATAATAATCATAACAATTATTGGAAAAAGAGAAATAAAAGAAAAACCAAACTAACAACAGCACTGAATCTAGTGGCAAAAGTTTTGTGCTGATGCTTGGCTATGAACTTTTCACTGGCCACTCTGCCACCGAACGCTGATGAGAACGCAAAAACCAAAAACCCTGAAAACAATTATAAACGTAATAAAATATTATAATTATAACTATAACTAATTCCATTCATTCATTCATTCATTCGTCCATTTGTAATTATATCCATCCATCTTACTGTTTATTTTTCATCCATCATTCCTTTATTCACTCATTCACTCAATCACTCATTCAATTAATTAACTAATCATCGTTTAATAGAGAAATTTCATAACAATGAAACAAATCTCAATCATTAAATAAAATTAATTAATTAATTATTACCAGTATTCATTGCCGTTTGCATGGAAAGCATGACCTCTGGCGAGATCTGGTCAGGAGTACTAGAATATTAACAACTATAATTATCATAAAATAATAATTATTTTATTATATTATATAATAATTAATTTAATTATAATGAATAATAAAATGGGAGTGGATGAAATGAATGAGTGAAAACATTATAAAATTTTATAAAAATAATTAACTTATACCTAATACTATAATAATTTTGGCTATAACATTAGTAATAATAATAACAAATGAAGTAAGAGTATATGACTAAAGGAAATTAATAAAATAAATAATAATTATTGCAATTATGATCATAATTTTTTTAAATAAATAATAGTTAATAATTAATTAATTAAATAAATAATTAATTAATAAGCAATAAATAATAATTATTACAATTATGATCATAATTTTTCTAAATACATTACTCATAAAGGAACATGTTCTTCAGCCTATCCATTCCAGTCTCTTTCCTCAAATATTCTTCAATATCTTCCTTCAATAGTCTTGCCTCTTCAACCAACATTTCATCATTATTATTACTATTATTATTTATAATATTATCACCATTATTATTAATATTATTATATGGATTAGCAGTGGTGGTAGTAGTAGTAGTGGTGGTGGAATCATTTTTATCAGTGGCCTCTATGGTGGCTGGTTTACTTTTTTTATTGAGATTTCCAGAATTGACAATGCCCTCCGCGATGTTTAGGATATCTGCTGCTCCTAATTTTTTATCACTTTCCGTCATTTTAGGATTATTTTCGTTTTCAAGCAATTCAACAGCAGCACTGCCGGATTTATTCCCTAGTTGTTGGAATTCATCTCTACTACTATTAACCCCCAGTACATTGTTTGAGGCGTAAACCGTCGGAAAGATATTTCCTAAATATTTTATTTTATTTTTCAATTTTAAGTAATTTTGATCGTTCATTAAAATGTTAGGTATATTCATTATTCCATCTAAAAAGAACTTCAGATCGAGAAGATTGTCATTGACATTTTGCGTATGTTTAAAAGTTAAGTTTGCTTCTGATAAGTTTAAAAAAAGGATCAAACTATTTGGCCTGCGTGAATTGTTGCTGGCTTATTGGCTTACTTATACTTATATTACATTTAATGGCTTACTTATATAAATATATATATATATATATATATGGCTAGACTTATATATATATATATATATATATATATATATATATATATATATATATGGCTAAACTTTCGACTACCGTACCAGTGTAGAGTTTTCGGCGTTTTACGAATTGTATTTCCAATCTTTTTACGAGTTGTTTTAGGGAGGAGAGGAATGGCTATAATATCGACCAACAAAAGAAAGTTTAGATAAATAAATACTATTTTGTATTTATATAATACTAGATTTCATTCTATTTGGTATAATTTTGGTTTACAAGCACTGTTAGACATTGTTTGTAGATAAAACTAAAAGGTTGAATAGATGAGGTTTTATACCTAGAAAACGAAAAAATTTATTCCGAAACAATGGAAAAACACTAAAAGATAATTTAATGGAATTTTTTTTATTAAAATAAAAATATAAAGCTAAACATTACAAATAAGACATATACACGGACATATAGAAACGACAACAGGAGCCATAGATGGAGTAATATAAAATAAAACTAGCTTTCCATCTATGAAAACTATTTTTTAAGAAATAATAATCTCTTCTGACGTCATCGTCGTCGTCGGTGTTTGAAAAAATGTTTAACTTGAATCCATTCCAGCTCCTTGTTTGTGAAATTTGTTTCTGCTGTGATTGAATGTCTGCACCTGTTTTCGTAACTTCTGACGATTTTAAAGAAAATATTTCATTCATTTTTTTGTTGTTTAATTTCAATCAATCAATCAATCAATCGATCAATCAATCAATCGATCGATCGACCGACCGACCGACCGACCGACCGACCAACCAACCAACCAACCAATCAATCAATCAATCAATCATTCAATCCATCCATCCATCCATCCATCCATCCATCCATCCATCCATCCATCGACCGACCGACCGACCGACCGACCAACCAACCAACCAACCAACCAACCAATCAATCAATCAATCAATCATTCAATCCATCCATCCATCCATCCATCCATCCATCCATCCATCCATCCATCCATCCATCCATCGACCGACCGACCGACCGACCGACCAATCAATCAGTCAATCATTTTAATTCACATAAGATTTTTCAATATTTTCTCATCAACAAAACAGTTTAATTAATTCATCGTCATCGTTGCTATTGGCCATAACATGAGGACATCATAATTACTTGACTGCATCAAGCAAACATTCCCAACGGTCGTTCCCAAATTATTCACCGCTGTCACGGAGTAGACACGGAATGAGTTGGGAGTGGCTATTTTTATCCTCAGGGATGCATCAAAGACTCCAAAATCTTTTATCTATTTTTACGGATTTATTAATTTATCTTTATATTTATATTTTTGGATGTTATTATTGCTATTATCACAACGATGTTGTTAATTCATGTGTGGAAACTAATACTAAGTAACTCATTTGATTGACGGAACTTATAATACGTTCCGCCAAAATACGTTCTTACTAATCAAATGAATAGATGAGTGGACGAATTGGCGAATGAATGAAAGAGTGAATGATTGAATGAATGAATGAACAAACGCAAGAAAGTCCGAGTGAATGAATAAACGAAGAACGATTGGCTGGGCGAAAGAACGAACGAATGAACAAAAACGAACAATTCAATAAAAAGTGAGAGAAAAGAAGAGAAGTTTCTAACAGTTACACTTGGACTATGAACCTGCGTGCCCTCGCCCCAGACAATGGACGGTGTCGTGTTGGCTGAGTTGGAAATAATTTGGCACCTCAGCCAGACATCTCGCTGGTAGAGTTCGGCTGTCTCATTGACACAGTTCACGATTGGTTTGTCTGGATTTTGTTTGAAAATTTGTTTAGTTACTAATTAATTTGTTCGTTCGTTTGTCTTTACGTTTATTCATTTGTTTAGTCATCTTTTAGTTTATTCATTCGTTCATTCAATCATTCTTTCATTCGTTCGTTCATTCATTTGTTCGTTCGTTCGTTCGTTCATTCCTTCATTCATTCATTCCTTCATTCATCCGTCCATACACAGCAGAACACCTACGGTTAACACGCAGTCTCACTCCCGCCCACATGTGCTGGTGCCTACCTCCAGAAGCAGCTAAACATCTCAATATCCTCCCGTGAAATTTATAGGAAAATGTGAAAAACTTATTAGTAGCAAGAACCGTTTCCATATCGAATCTCTTAAAGCCGCTAATACCGACTAACTTGACTCGACTCGATACGTTGAAATACCGAGTTAAGTTTAAATCGTCCAAAAATATTACAGTCTTGACCTCTGGGTGACCGCCTCTGATTGTGCATCTTATAATTGCAGGTTTATTCTCGTCTAAAATGACATCTTCTATATTATTATGGCTAAAATTATTGTTGTTGTTGTTGTAGTTATCAGTGTCGTACCGGTTAAACAGACTCGATTCGATTGAACTGTATGGAATGTTCTGGAAAAAATCGTCGGTTTTTAAATAGTCGGTATAATTGTCCGGGGGTATTTTTATTATGTTATGATTTTCATTTGTTGCGGTTGTGGCTGAGTTTATATTCGTCACGATATTATTCGAATCGGTTCTAGCGTTGGCTGACTCGATTGGGAGGTTATAAAAATCTGAAGTGGAGTATTCGTTCGGTATAACCGACAAGGAAACCCATGTTAAGTTATCTGTTTGCAAAGATGAAAAAATTATTTGTATTTTCTTTAGAGAATAATTTAAAATACCATAATTATTACAACAGATGAATTTTTTTTTATTTTAAATGTGATTTCTGTTACTGACCGATTACGTAGAGAGCTTTGACAACGGTAAGTAGGACTGCTGATTGGGGGCCCATGACTTTGCAGGTGTAATTGCCAGAATCTTTTGGTCTAAGGTCTAATTGGCGATCAGTTGGTTGGTTTAGTGATTGATTGATCAATAGATTGATTGACTGATTGAATGAATAAATGAATGAATGAATGATTGATTGATTGATTGAATGAATGAATGAATAAATGAATAAATGATTGATTGATTGATTGAATGGTTGATTGAATGAATGATTGGTTGATTGGTTGGTTGATTGATTGATTGATTGAATGAATGAATGATTGATTGAACAATAGATGAATTAATTAATTAATCATTGATTAAATTTGATGGAGTGGACGTATTAAATGATAAAATTTTGTTAGTTAGATCCAACTAATCAGTCATCCAACCAACCAACCAACCGACCGACCGACCGACCGACCAACCAACCAACCAACCAAACAAGGAATCAATCAGCCGGCCAGCCAAACGATCAAAAGTTCAAAGGTCAAACAAAAATAGCCTGAAACATATAGCTTTGACACTTATTGTGGGGCGAAATTTTCTATAATGATTTATAAACCACATCAAAAATTCTAATAAAGAGGCCGCATTTATTATTATTATTATTATTAGATTATTATTATTATAATTATTCACCTTTATTTTCTCAACTTTTTATTTTCTTAGCTTAAGGGACAAGTTTTTCATGCGTTGGCCATTAAGTATATAGTGCCGATGTAGTAGTAGTAGTAGTAGTAGTAGTAGAAGCAGTAGCTGTAGTAGTTGTAGTAGTAGCAGTAGTAGTAGTAGTAGTAGCAGTAGTAGTAGTAGAAGTTGTGGTAGTGATAGTAAAAAAAATTAATAGGAGCCCAATGTCGTAATTGTCACAGCTGTAGTAGTTGTAGTAGTAGTAGCGTTGTAATTGTAATTTGGTTTTCCTTTTTTTATTTTTGTCTCTTTCTTTCTCTCCCACTCCCTCTTTCTCTTTCTCTTTCTCTTTCTCTCTCTTTCTTTCTCTCTCTCTCTCTTTTATTTTTTCGCTCTCAATGAAGTTTTGAATAAATCGGATAATAAAATGAACGTAAAAAAGACTTCTCATGTGCTTTTGGAAATATTATTCATGTTCTTTGGTGTCGCACGGAGCGCTTTAGAGTTGATTTATAACCTCGAATAGTTTCAGGTCTTTGCTATTTATTTTTTGTTTTTTTGTTTATTTTTTTGTTGTTGTTACGTCACTTAAAAACACAAACAACAACAAACTATGCAACCAAAACATAAATAGACATCAAAATGACAATAATAACAACATTATCATTTAGTATTGTTATTTACAATAAGTAAAATATGAAGCGAGAGAGGAAAAAGAGAAGGAGAGAGAAGAGAGAGAGAGAGAGAGAGAGAGAGAGAGAGAGAGAGAGAGAGAAAGGTGTAAACAAGAATGATTCGTGAGGTCGTCATTTACGTCAGCGATGACGTAATAGATACGTCATTCTTTCTTTTGACGTTTTCAATCAGTTATCATCGTTGTTGTCAGCGCGGTGGGTAGGACGGATTGTTTAAATCATTACAGAGTCGTTTGTGTGCGTGTGCGCGCGCGTGCGTGTGTATGCGTGCGTGCGTGTGTGTGTGTGTGTATGCGTGCGTGTGTATATATAGTAGATCGTAACATTACAATACTAACTTCAATAACATTGAAGAACAAAGGAATGACAACAACAGAGATGAAGAACACGACATTAACTTATTAACTTTGCTAAAGGACTTCGCTTCGTTTAAAGAAACTATATAAACGAAATCTGCATTGAAGATGATTTATGAAAAATCGAAATAAGGCATGATGAATTCGAATAACAAAAGTTTCATTAAATTTTCATTATAAACTTAAATAATTCTATTTTCAACAAACTGAACAGTTCCCAAAAAATTCTAGTAAGGAAAATTGAAGACAAACTTTAAATTGATTAATGCCAACAATTCGGTAGAACTCATACAATACTGTATAAAATATATATACACATCAATATATATATATATATATATATATATATATATATATATATATTGATATGTATATATATATACAATGTATGGAAATGATGAGAACATTGTATGTTTGCATGTACGTATGCTTGTATGTTTGTTTGTATGTTTGTATGTTTGTATGTGTGTTTGTTCGTTTGAGCCTGTAAAGAGATTTCAAATGTAAAGCCACACATGCCATGCCCGAACTGATCTATTGCTTCAGTTTCAATGTCTTACGAATTAGTTTATTAGTTTTTTTCTTTCGTTTGTATGGGTGTTTGTTTGTTTGGATGTATGTGTGTATGTATGTATGTATGCGTGTGTGTGTGTGTGTGTGTGTGTGTGTGTGTGTGCGTGCTTATGTACGTATGTATGTATTCATCATATTTGTATGAAATTTTGTTCCCATATCTTTCTTTGTCATTGTCTAATTCAATGCCACTATTACTACTTCCAGGGGCAGAACTAGAAAACGGCCGAAATTTTTAAAATGCTAAAAATTTAAAAATTGACTAGGTGCCAAGTAACTAAACAAGTTTGTACAAGCATGGCTACAATTAAGTTGGTGAGTATTTACAACGAGGGGGGGGTCATGATTCATCCCGACCCCCTAAGACCCACCATAGCACGAATCTAGTTAAAAAACTACCAACATAATTTATAATAATCAAACTATACTGGGTATTCAGTCACATCCATGGAATTATAATTCAATGGTCACATCTAATGATAATCATATGGACTATTCAATGTACTATATATATATATATATATATATATATAAGCCAGAAAAGATTATAAATTTTCATGCTTTAGAGATTGAGAAGTATATGATTCTGGTAAGAAACTAATAGCTACATTCGGTGTATCAGCGTCAGGTTCTAAAAATAATCGAGCTATTGTACGTATTGAGTAACACAAAAAGACAACTATTCTGTCGAATCAAAAGACACTATGTATAAGAATTTCAGGATTTCCCTTAGCAAATTAGACATTTTTAATGCTCAAATGATTGCATGTTACATGAATCTATTAAAAAACTACAAAGTTCATTCGATATATCAACCTACAATACAAAAAATAATTGAGTTTCAGTTCGTAGTTCATAACGATAACCTTTATTTAGTATCTGAAAACTAAAAATAATAAATGTATCTGTCTGAAATGTGAGTTTCACTGGCTTTTGATAGCAACGCTGGATACAAAGGGTATCTTTAGATCCGCCACAGACTAAAAGTACTAATTCTTCGACTTATAATAATAATAATAAAATAATAATAAAATAATAATAATAATAATGAAAATATTAACAACAACAACAATAACAACAATGATATTATGAATAATAATATTTCAAACTTTTTATGAGCAGCGTCAATGTATACCTCGGGTCATCTTTCTTCCAATTTAAATGGAATCTATAAAAGATATTAAAGAGTAATTACTATTATTATTATTATCATTACTACTACTAATATTATTATTAGTTTATTTGAACTAAAATTATATATATATATATATTTAAAAAACAATGGTCTACCCAAGGGGTGGGCAAACCTTTTGCTGTGAGGGCCGCATTCAGAATTATTTTACCATTGAAGGGCCGCGTCTACTTGAATAGTAAATTTTTTCGACCCGGGGGAGAATTTTTTAAGATTTGTGGCTCCTTTTTTTGGTCATTATGTCTGCCCTGCCACAAAATCTAATCAAAGTGATGTCGTAGATATTCATTCATTTCTATCTTATTTTAATTAAAGTCTCAATTGATCGTAATTAGAAGCTTGATTTTAAACTGGCTAGGATAGAAGTCATAGTTTTGTAATAAATTTTACATGTCTATAAGGGAAAAATTAACGTTTGTCAACGTGCAGGTACAATTAAATTAGGAATAGTGAAAAAGAAACTTAGATATATATCTATTTTATCGTGATATCATATCTTTATAACTTTATACTTACATCACCTATAAACTTTACCTAACTCATCTCATCACCTATAAACTTTATAACTAATCAGAATTACAATGATATTTTCAGAATGGTAATAATACCTATTTTGAGCGAATGGCCAGTCAACAGCTGACATTGAATTAATTTTGATGCTATCGTCATCAGTGATTTGCGATTTGAACCATATAACAGGGTTGTAGAATAAGCTATGGTTCTGCATATTGAATTCGCATCTCAGTTCTACACTCTCACTTTGCTGTTTTATAAGATGTTGGTTTTTCGACAGCATGAATGTCGTCGTTGTTGTTGTTGTTTGTAGTGTTGTTGTTGTTGTTGTTGTTGTTATTGTTTGGTGTTGTTGTTGATGATGATGACGAAGAGACTGATGATTGTGGTGATGATGGTGGTAGTATTGTTGTTGCTGGTTGTGCTGCTGTTGTTGTTGCTGTTGTTGTGAGCGTTTGAAACGAAATTGCGAACTTGAAAGAGTTGTTGTGGGCTTGGATGATAATGACGATGATAATGTTGATAATAATGATGACGACCTCGAAGGTGGTGATAATGATGATGATAATGACATAATGGTTAAAAATGATAAGTATGGTAATATCCTTGATAATGTTAACCTTGGTGATGATAATGACGATGATGATGATGATGATGAGAACGATGATGATGGTGATGATAATGATAGTGACGTAGATGATGATGACGATGACCGAGATGAAGATGGTGGTATTGATAATAGTATCGACGACGACATCGGTGATGATGATGATGATGATGATGACGTCATCCGAAAATATTTTATAGAAAAATGTCAATTGTCCATTCTAAAACTTATCAATTTATATATCTCTTGTTCTTCATATGCTGTTAATTAAAGTCACTGCAATAAAGAGTTGTGATGTTTTGACTTTTCAAATTTTTACCTGGAGACTGGAATACTTTCTAGAAACTCCATTTCCAGTTAAAAAAAACTTAAATAAAAGTGATTCTTTTTTTTTAGAATAATTATAGATTGTTCGTTGATTGTAGAAACAATTTTGATTAAATAAATTCATTTAATTCCAGAAAAATTGAAAAGTTCATCCAACAGATCAAGCAATTTTCGTTTGGAAGCAGTGGAATCAATCATGATTCAACTGCATTATGGATTGCTATAGTTCTTTTCTTCTATAAAAATTGTTATTATTGTTAAATTTAAAGTTTTGCCCTCGGATCGGTAGAGGCAGAACTGATTGTTGTTCATTTGTCTGAAATGATAAAATCTGTACCACTTTTAATTTTTATGTCTGAAAAAAGTGTTTCTAAGTTTGTACAATGTCGTTGTTGTTGTTTGGCGTTGTCATGGTTGTTGTTTAGTGTTGTTGATGATGATGATGAAAAAATGTTGTTGTTGATGATGATGATGATGACAGTGTTGATGACAACAATGGTGGTAATGATGACGATGTTGATGACGACGACGACGACGATGATGGTGGTGTTGTTGTTTGTCTGTTGTTGTTCAGAATCTCAAATAGAAGGTGTTCATTAATGTCGCAATCGTGTTTT